GGGAGCGAGCGTGGGAGTGGGCGGCGCGGGGCAGAAGCCGAAGTCCGTAGCGGCGCGCACGGAAGGGAGCGCAGCCAGGCGGAGCCCTCGGAGCGGCGAGTGAAGCGGGAAAAGCGCGATGATGGCTACGAGGCCGGTAGGGGTTGGGTCCTTGCAGGGGTGGTGTGGAGCGGAGGTCTAGGACGTTCAGCCCCGAGTGTGCGGGCAGGTCCACAGGGCTTTCCAGGCGCAGGCTCCTCCGGGTTTTCCTCATCAGCGCTTCAGGGGTCTTCCTCTGGTTGTTTAGGGTTAAAAGTTTACTTCAATTGCCTGGCATCACACAGGCTCTCAGTAAATGTTGGATGAATGAATGAAGAAGTGCCATCGTGTGCAGAGGCGAGAGAACACCTGGTGTGTTGGCACAGGCCTGTAATTTCAGCCTTCCGGGAGATCGAGGCAGAAAGATAGCAAATTCGATCAGCCTGTGCAATTTAGTGACTTAGCGAGATCGTGTCTCAAAATAAAAAAGAAAGGGCCGGAGGTGTAGCTGTGTGAAGGCTCTATGTTCAATCCCCAATACAAAAAAGTAAAATAAAGAAAAAACCTGGTATTGAGCAAGTCGTGCAGGGCTCATGGTACAGACTTGAGGTAGTAAGGTAGGCTAGGGTCTGACTCTGTACTGTAGGCCTTGTTAAATTTGGACTGTGTTTCGAGGTTTTAAGGGAATTGTCGATTATTTGAGTTGGGGAGCAAGTTGATCAGATTGATGTTTTGTAAAACTCGCAGCTTTTAAGTATTTGATCAGAGATAGGACTGGAGGCCTAGAAATCAGGAGGGCTGTAAAGCAACCAGGTAAGCGTTGATGGTGGCCTGCACCGGGGCAGCAGTAGTGGGTTGGAGAGAAGTGGCCAGACTGAAGACCTGTTTTGGAGGAGTGAACAGAATTTAGTGTTTACGTCAGAACGGGAAGGAAAAAAGAGTCGGACACTTTGTATTTGGGGCGAGCAGTTAGATGAATGGTTGTGACATATATTGAAATTGAGAATTTTGGAAGAGAACATTTGAAGCAGGAGAAAGATAACAGCCTCATTTTGGAGAGTATTGAGGTTGTTGTGCATGGAGAAATTCAGGATTGGGACTGGATAGAGTGATTTTTGGATTTATGAATATTTAGGTGGCCAATGAAGCCCCGTAGAGAGTTTGGAGTGAGAAGCTAGGGAGATTAAGTGATGCATCTTGAGAGGTGCCAGTATTTAGTAGTGGTAGATGAAGATGCTATAAAAAAAAGGAAAAGCAGAGGCTCACTGCTCATGGGTTAGAGGGTAGAGATTATTGTTAGGAGGAGGGAATGATCAGTAGTGTCATTCGCCACGAGAAATCAAGCAGACAAGAGCTGAAAAGAATCCATTCGATTTGGTACCAAAGACGCAGGTGACGTTGTAGAGGGCCTAGGTGGAGAAAGGGACCTTAGAGATTGAAGAGAAGTGGGTTAGGGATACAGGAAAGGCTGTGCTTGTCGGTAGATGCTGGTGGAGGGAGCCCCATTTGATGATGTCAAACTTCCTCTGTGGTGGTCAGTGAAGTTATTTGCTGTATGTGAGGTGGCTGGAGCAGGTCCAAAATGCTTACATATCTGTCTCTGACTTCTAGCACAGTACAGTTTCTTCATGTTGCACAGAGGACACAGTCTTGCTGCTGACACAGTCCCTGCCCTGTGGGGAGGCAGAGGCCTGAGATGACAGCTGCTGGGGAGTTTAGAACAGATCATTCTGATCATAGTTGTACATGGCTTCATGAAGCTCCTGATAAGATTTTGTCAATCAGAGCAAGATCAGAAAGGACAGCTGGGATGAAAACACAGTATGTACAAAAGTCAGTGGAGATGGTAAAATGAGGATTGCAGAAAGTTGGACCTCGTGGGTCAGGAAAAGAAATTGCTAAAAGAGCAGGACTGATAGACAAGGGCTCAGGTAGAGGCAGTGCTGAGGAGCATAACGGAAAAAGCTGCAGCTTTTAGGTGTTGCAACAGATCCTCGTGCTAATGCTCATCTTTGACCCTATGGATGGAGCCAGAGGTGCTGGATTTGTGGCCCTGTGTTAAGCCCCTAAGCTGTGCTTTTTGTTGTTCCAGCTGCCAGCTCCAAAACTAGCTCAGGAGATGCCTCGTCACTCAGCATCGAGGAGACCAAGTGAGTACTATCTCCCTATGCTTCAGCATTTTTCTTCTGAGAAAGGCAGTTTGTGGGGTGGGAGGCTTTCTTCCACACAGTGTGCCAGTTGGACTGGGCAAGGCCATGTAAGTCATCTAAGTCATCATAGCTGCCTTTTTTTTTTTTTTTGGTACTGGGGATCGAATTTGGAACCTTGTGCGCAAGGCAGGCAGTGGAATCACTGAGCTAAGTCCCTGGCCCCATAGCTGCTTTTGAATCACAGGGGAAGAAACTTAAGAACCAAGCAGGAGGGCATTGGCTGGTTAAGGGCAGGCCAGGCCTAACACCCATGTTCCCTGGTCTGGGGGCTGGTTCCTTCCTAGAGTCCTAGGCTCGTACCTAGGACCCTTCCGACCACTTGTTTGCGCTGTTTTCTTTGTTGGTGGGTACTGGGGATTGAACAGGTCCTAGTACTTTCAAGGCAGGCGGCAGAACCACTGAGCTAAATTTCCGGCCCAATTTTCCACTCCTGTTTAAAAATGCATTTAACACCTGATTTATTTCATAGTTCTGACTCTTGTATCTCTTGTCCTCAGTAAACTCCGGGCAAAGTTGGGGCTGAAACCCCTAGAAGTCAGTGCTGTCAAGAAAGGTGAGCACGGGACTGAGGATGGGGGTCACGGGAAGGCATTGGGGTGGAGCAGAGAGGCCTTTTGAAAGGGTCTTTGAAGAAGGTGGGATGAAAGTACAGAGGCAGGCAGCACCATTCAGCAGTCCTGTATACATCTGCCTGCTGTCACAGTGGGCATCTGGGATGCATTTGCCCTGGTTGGCCCTGGTGTCCTCCTGGCTGGGAGGTGCAATTATATGGGCTGAGAGGTGTGCACAGTTGCTGCATACTCCCTAAGCTGTGTAGGTATTGGTTGGTTTGCTTTAAAAAAAAAAAGGAACTTTGGAACGTTGAAGGTCCTTTTGTACTGCATGGGTTGACAGGAGTGTGGGGATGAAGTGGGGCTAGGGAGGTGAAGGACTCTTCCCCTCTGTGGCCCCTTCTGGCGCCCTGAGCTGGAAGGGGGCAGAGTGAGTGGCTCCTTCCTCTCCCCCCAGCCATGGGCAGACATAGCCTCACGTCTGGGCCCCCCTTCCAGAGGCGGGCACCAAGGAGGAGCCCGTGGCTGCTGATGTCATCAACCCCATGGCCTTGCGACAGCGAGAGGAGCTACGGGAGAAACTGGCAGCTGCCAAGGAAAAGCGCCTATTGAACCAGAAGTTGGGGTGAGAGAGTCCTATCCAAGGTGGCCAGGGACAAAGTTGCTGTCCTTTCACTTTGTGGGTTGGGGTGGAATCAGGTGCTGGGCTTCCCTGAGCATTCTCTTCTTCAGGAAAATAAAGACACTGGGGGAGGATGACCCCTGG